TGTGTGTGTGTGTGTGTGTGTGTGTGTGTGTGTGTGTGTGTGTGTGTGTGTGTGTGTGTGTGTGTGTGTGTGTGTGTGTGTGTGTGTGTGTGAGCTGTTTGTCTATATGCCACCATTCTATCCTGCCTATTAGCTATGAAACCTTCTTACTCACACACCCTTCTCTATCTATTTCTATGCACCTCTTCAGGGAAAGCAAGAGGATTCTTCAAGTCGGGCGACATGGTGATCGTAGTGACCGGCTGGATCCCGGGGTCCGGTCACACCAACATTATGAGAGCAGTCAACGTCCCATAACAACCCAACTTTACATGACTCTAAATCTGACTGACATGCAGACATATAAACATGATAAGAACCTAGAAAACACCATTTTTTTCTAAATTCAACAATAACCACTGGGAGTTGTAGCTTAACAAAAGCATTAAAGCAGCAGCATTGTTGCTATTTAAACTCAGGGTTATGTTAGGTAAACACTGGTCTCATGAATGTTGAATTTGTGTTTAACGTGTCTTAAAGCAATGACTCCCTCCAAATAAAACTTGAATCATTAAGTTTAACACGCTGTTCATCTCTTTCATAGAGTCTTAAGCTTAACTAATTGAGCCGTATTATTCTTTTCATCTCTGCTATTTGTTGGAGTAATATTGAATTGAATGTGAACATTGTCTCTTCGCCTGCCATTGTTGAAGCGTATCATTATTGGTAGCCTTATAGAATTTGTAGATAAGTATTTCATTCCAGTCCATAGTCCTAAGCTTATCTCTGTGACGGCACAATTATTTTGCCCATTATGAGCCAGGCGGGGAGATGCAGAGATGACGAGTATTGGACTGCAGTCTTTTGTCCAAGAGATGACCCAGATGCCGACATCTTCCTGTTCTCCTGTAAACTAATTATTTCTGTTCCTGCGAAAAAGGCCTACTCATGTATGATGAGCCTTTATGTGACATCCATGCCTTTGTCAAGCTTCCTCCTTCTTTGCTTTCCAGCTCTAGTATGCTCAAATCCTCCTACATATCCGTAACATCCACATGCATATGCATAGTGCAATTATCTGGGAGGTTGGTTGATTGATAATTTATCTTAAAAAAAGGAATTTGTTGGCTGCAATTTTAACGCTTTATAGTTGAGCTTATGGTATTTTTAACTAATTTGTCAACATTTAAATGAAGTAATCTCAACAAATGTGTCACAAGTGAATGTATTTTTTATATTTAATTCCAGTTTGCAAAGTTCAGCTGTCAGATAGATGTTGTGAAGTAAGGTCAACAGTATTTGCCTCAAAATTTAGTGAAGTCTAATAAATAGAAGCCTAATTTAAAATACAAATAATCAGGTAAAGCACAACAAATACCTTAAAAAAATGTTTTTTCTTGCTACTCTCCATGACTGATTTGTTCACCTTATCTCTCAAAAGGTTTTGTTCCTTTGTGTGTTTACATACAACTTGTCTGGCATTTGAATTCCTTATGCTATTATATAGATTTGATAGGAAAATTATAATTTATTGCATTGGAAGAAGCCTTTTAAAGAGATTAGTTTAATCAGTTTGGACTTGACATTTATATTGTTTTCATTATTTAATCCAATTGCATTTTATCTTCTCTTCCATTTGTTATTTCCATTCTTAAAAAAGATTGTTCTTTTTCCGAGGTTTCAATAAAGTTTCATCATCGCTCTCGCGCTCCCTCGCTTTATTGGTGAGCGAGACGATGACGTGCGTGCTTTACCTGCGAGGGATTCGTGCGTCTGGTACCGGCCGGGCACGCTGCCTTGGGGGACGGATGATGGGGATGCGGATGCCATGGCAACAGGCCGATTAGATCCAGACCTTTCATATGCACATTTATTTATTTAATATGTCATTTACATGCGATGTGCGCCTCTGAGGACGCGCCAGCTCGACCTCTGAGGGCTGAGCGAGGAGCGAATTTCAGCTTCAAACTGGATTCTCTCTGAGCAGCTCACGAAGGAGCAGCCACCTGAAAGGCTCAACAAGTAGTTTTATTTTTTTTAATGAGGCTTTTGAATCCAGCAAAGTAGCCCGTTTTACCTTGGAGCAGCTATTTAAATATTGAGCCTTTGTATCTGTCGCCGGTGTCATTCAGAGAGGAAGGACAGCGACGTCTGGGCACAATGTCATTGAAACTCGACAGAAGTGAAGCTGGCAGCCGATGAGAGAACAGGACATTTCGGGTGTCAGACTTTGAACACCTGAGCAGGTTAATTTAGTCAGTTTTAAATAAAGCTTTCTTGTAAAGCCGGTACTCTCCTCTTGCTGTCTGACGGGCAACATTTCGGCGCGCCTCCCATCACAATGAGTATTTTTCCACTCGGATACTGAAAATGACAACGTGGCTTGGATTCTGTGAAACCATGGGCAAGATTTGGAGTCATTTGACTTGTTTCGGTCATTTTGTGTTTCCCTGTCGGTCTGGTTTTCTGTGTGCGTGTTTCTGCTGTGCATGTCAGTATGAATCAGTGCGCCTAGTATGAGCGCTATGTGCGCCTATTACGTGCGTCCCTTATGTCCATTAACAACCCATCCCTGCTGGAAGAGGATCAAGTGCCCTTGTCGTTCACCCGTGGATGAATGTTTCCCACTTTGCCACCTCACCGCCCAAGTCATCTACAGCATAATGATTTGTTAAAAATAGACAATTTGGGTGAGCAGCCTGGACAAATAGGCTTAACAGCAGGGCACCGACGACCAATGAGAGGCGAGCTCCATTATCAACAAAAGACCGGGAATCCGGTGCCAAAATGACCGGCTGTGGAGCGTTAAGGGCGGCTGTGGAGAGAAGGGGGAGGGCCTCGGGGTGAGAAACGTTTCAAGGACGAGGAAGGAAGCATGATACAGAAACATCTGTAAGGACATATAGGAGACTCTTTTAAAAAGGAGGAAAGTAAAGCTGCCGGCGTCACACTAGCAGGGTGATTTGTCTGAATGGGGCTATTTCCAAGGGCACTGAGGTAAGCATGGGCACATCGGTGGAGAGAGAGAGAGGTTGGAGGTGTGAGTAGCCGGCTCCAGGAGAATGACTGGAGACAAAGAGATAACGTGTCTTTAGCTTCTTCAATTTACGTTGAAATTGACATTCTCACTTATGTAATAGTATAATATAGATAAGTCGACTGAAATAAAGACTCGTTTTTTGAGGGTTACAAGTTTTCTTCCCCCCTTTCCCTCATCCTGCTCCCCCTCCTCCCTGCGTGAGGATGGATGGGGTGTCTGGAGGTGTGGGTACTCCCAGTAGTGGCGGGGGTTCAGGGTGTGACAGCCTCCCCAGGCGTACCAGAGGGGACTCGAAGCGGCGCAGTAAGGGCAGCCTGCCCTCCCCGGGGTACAGGCTGTCCCAGGCCTCCCTGGAGGGGGAGAGGGGCTGCTTCGGGGGGGACAGCGCTTCCTCAGGTGGACGCGCTCGTCGCCTCTCCATCATGAGCTCCTCCAACAGGGACGGACTTTCCTTCCGCACAGCTGGCACCCCAACCACCCCGGTGCCCCTTCCTCCCCCGCCCTCTTCCTCCTCAGCCCATCCTCCTCCTCGCTCAGTGGGCTTTGCCGCCTCCCGTGCCGCCCTGCCCTCCACCTCTTCAACCGGGACCGGAGTGATGGTGGTGGCCACCGGCCCAGAGACCACCACCACTACCACGTGCAACACCACTGCAGCAGGGACCCCTGACTTGATGGGGCAGTGTGGACTGGGTGCGTTTGGCTTGGGCCTGGATGGGGAGGACTACAGCACCTCCAACCAGAGCACCTTCATCCAGAGACAGTTTGGAGCCATGCTGCAGCCCGGGGTCAACAAGTTCAGTCTGCGTATGTTTGGGTCCCACAAAGCTGTGGCACTGGAGCAGCAGAGACTGAAATCAGCAGGGTCCTGGATCATACACCCTTACAGTGACTTCAGGTACACACACACACACACACACACACACACACACACACACACACACACACACACACACACACACACACACACACACAATCACAAGTCCTTATGTTTGAAATATGGATTAAAGATGAAAGTGTTCTCTTTGGCAGGCATGCTTGAAGCATAAAGATATAGACACTTCAGTAGATGTATGAAAAGGAAATGAGACATTTAGCAGCCTCTTTAGTTGGTAACCGATGGAAATAAGGAGAAATACAACTGGGATTAGAGGGCTGCAGGAGGATACATGTATAATGCTGGAGACACAAAATATGAAAGTGATGTGAGGGAGAGGCAATCAATGCAATAGGTATTTTTCACAAAAGACATTGTCACAGTTTAACATAAAGGTGTAAATAATGAACTTAATGATGGCTGAATTACATTTTTGCTGCTCATTTTGAATGATGGCTCATCCATGACTTATTGTGACACTTCAATACAGCAAAGCCATTGTTAATTAACACCTGTGCTTTTTCTGCTATGACTACAAGTTAATATGTGTGTTGTGAAAAAGGCCTGTGGGAGAGTCCATGGACGAAACATGCAGCGGCTGTATGAAAGATTAAAAGGGATGATGACAAAATGAGAGTGGATGTAAATTCCTGGGTCATGATGAAGGCAGTGAGAGGTGTTTATGTAAAGGTTAGTGTAATAGGGACCTCCATTGTAGAAAACAGCAATGACTGGTTAGAGAATTAAGATTCTACATAGAGAGTATTGTGAAAGGTTGTCTCCAGAAGAAATGGTTTCACAGTTGGGGGAGATAAAGGTAGGACAAAACATACGTTTAATGATCAGGGAGCAGCAACAAATTCCTTTTATGTCAATTGTGAACTGTGGAGGAACCCCCCGCAGCATAGCCTGCTGTTTTTAGTTTCCTTGAGTAGAATTCTCCTTTTTAAGAAAGATATGTACCGTACCTGGTGGTAAATTCTTATAGTCTGTGTTTCTCTGGCCGTAGCCTCAAACACAAAAGTCCATATTGCGTGCACACAGCAGTCACTTTTTGCTTATATGGTCCTATTATACAAGTATTATTTTCCTATTTTCCTTGCAAACTTTCAGGCATGTGATTTGAGGCTCTCGCTAACTACAATATTGGTGAAGTGTTGGAAAGAAAATAGTTTCGCCTTCTTCTTCTAGATATTAACTGTGTTATTGACAATCCGTCTTCCTTTATTAGGGTTTCTTTTCAGCCTAGGCAGTTGTTGCCATTGCTCAAATATCAATGTATTCTGCAGGATATTGTTTTTCATTAAATCAGGCTTTTGCCGAAAATATTAAATGGACCAGCGATTGGCTAAAGGCTCTGCAGTCATGGGTTGGAGACGGGCACATTTGTAGATGGACAGCAGAGAAAGAGAAAACATTCATATTCTCCAGACAGGCTGTAGCAATGTAGATGACTTTATCCCCAAGGCTCCTGGCCCACTTTTGTCTCACCAGCGACACACACACACACACACACACACACACACACACACACACACACACACACACACACACACACACACACACACACACTATCACACTTAGTCGCTTTGTATTGTCTGTCAATTTGATGATCCCTCGCCAGTCCTGCTTCTGAGTCTGCACACAAGAGATCCATTGAACGAGGTCAGTGAGGACGGAGGGAAGGACAAATTCCCTTCCTGCTCTTACTGATACTCATGCAAGATATATTAAGATGTGAATACACCTACTAATTAACCTGTTGGAGACAATCGAATTTTGATCAATTATGTATGACTTCCTAAGTTATGCAACTTGAGTATGCATTATGCATAATTCAGTCATCTAACTTTTCCGTTAAGTACCTGTAGTCATGAGCGAATTCCTGAAGTGGAACTTTGTGAGGCCGGAGTGAGCGAGGAGAAAAGATTACTTCTAAAGCCCCTTTTTATTGAGTTTTCGTCCAGGTATTGACCTTGAACACCAGAGACCTGTGGGTTTTCAATAATATGTGTGTGTGTGTGTGTGTGTGTGTGTGTGTGTGTGTGTGTGTGTGTGTAATATTATGAAGCTGTTTGACTGTGCTTTACCGCTCGTAGCTATGAATTCCGAGATTTCATTTTGCCCTCCCTCATTTTCTCCCACAATATCACACACACACACACACACACACACACACACACACACACACACACACACACACACACACACACACACACACACACACACACATAAAGACAGAGAATATTGCTTATGGAGGCAATTGTATCTCTGAGTAGCCTGGGGTCTTATGCTTGCATATTTCCCATTGTTCCAGGTCCATGTTGGTAATTTCACACACGCTCAGTCTGCCTGAAGTGATAGAGAGTGACAACAACTCATCATCACAATGTCTTGTTTTTGTGAATTTCAATGCAGCCTCAGGATGAGGGCTTATTTCTCTTAATTTTAACAGACGGAAAATACAGATCTCACTTTAACTTTGTAATTTGTTTGTATAAATATTTGTATCATATTTGTTTTATTTCATTCTTAAAGGGGCCCTATTAGGCCAATTTTCCAGTTCATATTTGTATTTAGTGTCTCTACTGTGACATGTCTCCATGCTTTAATGTTCAAAAAGGTCTTTATTTTTCTCATACTGTCTGTGCTGCAGCATCTCTATTCACCCTCTGTCTGAAACCAACACACCGCGGTTGTGATTGGTCAACGGCTTAGAGGTGCCGGAAAGGTCCTGTCTCTTAGCATATCACGTACAATGTGTTGGAGTGCTAGCCAATAGTTGCGTGAGTGTTAGATAGTGATGTTATTATGTTCCAGAAGTAAACAAAGGAGTCCAATGGATGCGTTTCAGGCAGGGGGGGAGTGTGTGGGGGAGACACCCCCTCTTAAGGGAACTTTGGGATTAGCCTTTGCTGACCATTTAATGGGAAAACCCCAAAAAGCATAATAGGGCCACTTTAAATGGACCAACTGCCAAATACCCAAAACCCAATAACCCCCAAATTGAATACTACATTCTTATGAACTAACATCTAGTGTTACCCATCTAGCTGTAGCTGCATATCGATTGTTCTTCCCTGCGTTTGAGTTTTTTTGTTGTCTAAAAAATATTAGAAAGACATTAAGTCACGCTATTGTGCTGGGCCAAAATAAATCCCCCATACATGATCCAATTGCCATTAATGTGTACTAATACACCAAATTAATTAAAATAGTCCCTAATAAATGCATTTATTCCTTTATGAGTAACATTCTCCAAGCTGCAGTTGTGTATTGTAAGTGAATCTTTTGACTGTTGTTTTATTTATTTTTTAATAGTCCATCTATGTATGACTAAGAAGAGGTACATTCACTTTACCCTTAAAGGAATACTTGCCCTACAAAATGATCATTTGTAAACTATGACCTTGAGTGCTTGAAGGCCATTAAGTTTTTCTCTCACGCCTCTCTGAATGAAGAATAAAAAACAGAGAAAAGTCTTGACGAATTTAAATTGGGGAAGCATTTACCAACAGCAAAACTATATCAATACCTGTAGGCATTGTGCCTATGAAGGCATAGGAGAAGTGTTCTTCAGGAGTTCAAGGTAACACAGGGTGAATTATTGACATACGAATGATCATTTCGGGGGGGAAGTATTCCTATAAGTCTTTCATTTCTATGTAGCTCACTTCTTGTTTGCTCCCTCTCTCTGTGTGATGCTTCATGGAGCATGTCAAGGGGAAAATGACTGTGGAGAGATGGCTAATGACACAGCGTAGAAATACACAGAAGTCTGTAGAAAATGAAATTGGATACCTCGGAGTGTACACAGCTGTAGGATTATGGGTGATTGTGTGTGCTGGATTGCATTGGCTGGTTATGTACTAATATATATTTTCTTGTGTGGCTGTGCATTTGTGCACGTACCACACTATTATACTGTACAGTGTTTCTTTCTATATTCAACATCCAAACTTTTTAAATGCTGAAGAAACTTTCTCTCCTTTTCATGTTGTCACCAGTCTCCAGGCACTTCATTGGTTGATTACACAAATTTCTACAAGTCATGATGACGCATATTTTTATGGTTCGACAATAAGGAGTTTCTAATAACTAATAGAAGGAAAATGGAGAAAACGTTGGTAGAAAATATGATGTTTGAGCTCACACATGCATTGTGTTTATGTTATCAAACTCTTTTTGCTGATATTGGAAGCGTATTGGTCTGCTATGTGAGGATACGATCTAAATTGCAATATGGACTAGCCTATATCGTATTGGAGGAAGCACAAATCAACTAAAAAGTGTCCCTAATGATTTGTATGAAATAAAAAAAATGCAATGAAAAACAGATGCAAGTTATAACTGAGTATGACCATAAAGTTATATATAATAACATTTAAAGAAAGTACGGTAGACAAATTATATTCTACAGGCTTAACAAAACATTTTGTTTGGTACAGATCCTCTTAAAAAATCACACCATAATAAATTAAATATACTGTATATTTCAATGATACGGAGAATTATGATGCAAATTTTTTCCAAATCGTTTAAAATGATTGCTATGTTGTGAGATGTTCAATTTGTTTGAATGGAACCAAGGTATTTCGTTGACTTTTTCAAAATGTTAGAAGTGAACCTGCCATCACATGATCAATGGTGAAACGGCTCCCACTGACGCTGTGTCTCTAAAGAGAAAGCGTTGCCGCCCGATTAGGCCAAAAACCCTATCCTCGGCTTTGCATACTACTCAAAATGGCCGATGAGTTCTGCGCTCAAGTTCAAATGTTTTACAACTTTTACCTCCATTGCGAATGACCATTTGACGTGTGACCAATCAGATAACAACTGTATGAAGCAGTGCAAGCTAGCAGAGGGGAACAAAACTAACTTTCTGTTTTCCTCGCAACGCTTCCTCGTGTTGAGTTTTTAAATAAAATGTCTTCATAATCACCAGAAGGGCAGCATATTTCCAGCCAATTATCTTACATGTTTGTTTTCCCTCTGCAGGTGGAACGTGGTGGGCATCCAGGGCTCTTTGATGAGCTACTTCACAGAGCCTATCTACTTCTCTAGCATCATCCTTGGCAGCCTTTACCACGCTGACCACCTCTCCAGAGCCATGTACCAGCGCATCGCAGATATCGAGGACCTGCCGCAGCAGTTCAACCTCAACAGGCCTCTGCTCAGTGGTGAGGGCCTGCTTTCATGTGGCAGAACAAGAAAAATCTGATTTCTGCAAAAGCGATTAAGCGAAACAAGACCTCAGGCTGAGGCAAAGCACAAACATATTGTCATGTTTTGAGGAGATCTCCTTGTTAGTGTTTGCCGATCAAAGACCCGCTGTTTAAATATCAAAGAGTGAGACGTTAATGTTAGGCCGTAAACACATTTATCCTCCTCACCGGTCATTTCTCTGCAGGAAGACAGGTTTTGCTTTCCTCCACTGTTTGATCTGAGCTGACATTTACCTAGTTCCTGTGGAATTTAAATAGATTCATCATTTGGTGTGAATTTTTCTGTATTGGCTTAATCTTTTAATAAGGCCAAATAGAGAAAAGCTCCCTCAGTTTATTTTGTTCTTTTTTTTGTTTCCATTTTTAGAAAAAGCAATCAGTCTTTGCCAACTGATTTTGTAAAACAATAGTATTTAACATTTTCATGAAGGCTCTTTTTCCGTACATCACATTTGTTTATCACATCTCATTTAGTGGGAATGCTGATACAGCATTCCAACTACTTGTTCTTCTACGCGCAAATTCTTTGTTCTTATTCCGCCGGGTTATTTTGCTCCTCTTCTTCTCCCACACTTCCACATCGCAGAAACTCCATTCAAACATCCAAACATCAAAAAACGTTCAGCTCGATCGGGAATCAATGGCTGATTTTACTTTTCTCATTCATAACTTTCATATTTCCAGAGATATATCCCATAATTCAATCAAATTTTTAACATGGGAAGCCAATGGAGAAACTTTTCAGACTTGGAAAAAGTCTCTCATGGCGACTTCAACGGCTAACTGCTCCTTGATACTTTCACTCAGAAACCTCATTCTTAACTTAAAACATGTTACACATCTTTCTGACATTATTCGTGTTACACACTTTTTAAATCTGATTCATACTTTTAGAAATATTTAAACATTGTTCCAGACCTTGGTAAAGGAGGCCTTGTTCAGGATTTTAACATTAGTGTGTATTGCGGCCGCTCGTCAAGGCTAGAGTGCGTGATGTCACAGCTAGGAGTGGAGGAGAGCTGGAATTCCCAAAACCCTACACTACTTGGACATCATTTTTCAAATTAAACAAAATGTCTCTTGTAGAGGCCATGAAGTGACAAAAACTTTCAACATGTCTCCATTAAAGAGCCTGTGGACACGAGTTGTCCCCATCATCCAAACCCATCAATTTGGAGTAAATACTTGTCCCTTGAAAACCGTTACTGAACCGATTTTGGATATTTGTTACTTTGAATAACCTTAATCTGCCTTCCTTCAATGTCGACCTTTTCTGGATCTTCTCGGGGATTCTTCAAGTTCCCGGCCAAATGGATGCACCGTTCAGGGATCCCAGCATCTGCATGTAAACGCACGATGGGCGCACACAGCAGCAAGCCTCAGACAGCGATGACAGTTTAATTTTGAACGTGTCTGAGAACTTATGAGGAGGCTTGAAGGATCGGTTTATGTTGTATCTGTTAGAATTTAGGAATCTAGGTGGCTTCCAATATGGGCGATCCATACGGGGCACAGTGGTGGACTGGGACTAAAAAATCATCCCGGCGGGACTCTCGACCCGGGCCCACTTCAGCGTACGGCTAGTAAATTGTCAACCGGGGAGTGTGGGGATGTGCAGTGTGACTTATCCGACGGCCCACTTCCGGTACCGATGGCCAGTCCGCCACTGCACCAGCCCAGCCCACGTAAACTGTCAATGGGGCGAGGCCTCGCCTGCGGGAAACGGTGGACCTAGTGTCCCGCATCGGAGTGGGAAATAAATAATAAATAATCCGTGCATTTTATCCATTAATTTCCCCAACATTGTGGTAAAAAAAACACCCGTTTAAATCCATGTTGGTGTACTACAACTACAAAAAGCATCAGTTTGTTTTCTCATCAGGAAATGCAGACACCGGCTGCTCAAAACAAACAATTTTTTAATCATCATCCTCACCGATCATTTAATGTATCATATGTTCGCCGAATTGACATGAAAGCACTATAAATGTAGTTTCATCCACTTGAGTTTTACAACTACAAAAATAATCGATTTTGGTTTATATATCACATCCCAACGGGAGGGAAATTTCAGCAGCTCTCACTACCGATTTTTATCCTAATTTAATCATCATCTTTACTACGATCATTTTATGGTTATGTTCGCCGAATTGACATGAAAAGCACTGACAAATATGAATATACTCCTAGTCAACTTAATTAAACGTTATTAAAGTGCCTAAACTCAGTAATTCACAATTTCTACGCCATGACATACACTTTGTCCGTTATTTGGCTCTCTTGCCGCACAGTGAAGCGTTCCCGCATTGAACGTCAGGCCTTCTGCTTCCCCCAAAACTTCAGAATGAGTCCAAGGGGAATTTCCCCGCGATGTTCGGAAATATATTCGATATTTATCGGGGAACGGTATCGCACCTTCTTTTTTTAAACTGGGACGGTTTCGAGAATGACTCGTAGCCCATATTCCATTGCACAACAGTTGTTGGGGGCAGGCTTGTCACAGGCTCTTTAAGGCCCATTGTAATTCAGGCCTATCTTTCCTTCACAGCAGTAGGCC